GGATAACCTGCACTGAACCTTCTTCTGTTCCTTCATTTGGGACCACTTTTGAGGGTCATAAAAGCACCCCATAGAACTATTTTTATGGGAATTCTGGAGTAATTTGTGCCCCAGGCATGTTTGGTTTATATAAAAAATGTGAAAGTAGGAGGCTGACATTTGGGGATGTTTTAGACTAGGCACTTTGTGACAATGTCCTAGAACAGCCTTCTTCAACACTGTGCCTTCCAGAAATGTTTGAAATGCAACACCCAGAATTCCCAGTCCATGGCCCTGCTGGATGGGACTTCTGGGAGCTGCAGTCCAAATGCCTCTGAAGACTATCCGGTTGGGGAGGGATACCCTAGAAGGACAAGTCTGTAGAACTACTAATGTGTAAATTACAGTACAGGATGTGAGCTGGAGAATGCCAGTTACACCATGTTGTAGGATGAAGATTAAGAAGGAAACATTCATTGATTGATCATTAGGGCCATACGAGGAACATAAGAAAACACATATGCACCACTGTACCAACACAGAGATGTGAGAACACAAAACCATGAGAACGTAACAGAAGTTCTGCTGGATCAGGCCCAAGGTGCGTCTAGTCCAGGGTTCTGTACACACAATGGCAAACCAGCTGCCACAGGATCCCTCCAGCAGGATGGGGGCAAGACCTCCACCTGGCCCAGCTCCTCTGCAGCTGGTGCATGCAGGCAGGGCACCTCTCTTAAAGGAGGTAGCACGTGGCCAGCAAGCCTAGTAGCCACTGATAGCCTCCTCCCTCATGAATCTGCCCAATCCAGATTGGCAGCAATCACCACTTCCCACGGCCACAAATTCCATAGTTTAATCATACGTTGTGTGCAGAAGCCCTTCCTTTATCTACTCCAAACCTCCCACACACGCAGCTGCATGGAATGACCCCAGCTTCAAATGTTAAGGACCTTTCTCTTCATCTCCACTTTCCCCACACTGTGATTAATCCCCCACACAGCACCTCTGTCATGTTAAGGGAACATCTTTAGAGATGTGAGTCATCACTAAACTTTCTCTTGGGCTGCAACCTCCTCTCTTTGCACCTTCCAGTGGTTCTCCTGCTATGTCACGTGGCATGAAATCTGACAGATAATGGCCACTTACGAGTGCACAAGCCCCTAAAGAGCAGCTTGTGTACCCCCACCGAGTAAACAATGAACACGAGGCCAGGAGAGGGGTGAAGGACTGGACTCGGTGAGGACTTGCTTGAAAAGAATCTTGAGTCTGATAGCAATGAGGCGGTAGCTGCCTGCACAGCCTTTCCGTGTTTGAGCAAAAACAATATTTGAAAGAGCTCTGGAGGGTGTTTTGTTGGCATCGGGTAACTTCAGGTTTATGTTTGTTTCCTGGGCTGAGGCGTTGCCTTTCAGCAAGGAGGCTTTGTCCTTCTAGGGACCTTGACCAAGTGGCACCGTTGCGCCTTCGGGAGAAGGATAGCTAATCGATTCCTGTTCTTAAGACCCCGACAATGTCGGGGGCTCACACAGGTGTTGAGCTTGGAGGCCCTTGGTCCTCTTCTGTCTCTCCTGCCACACCAGTGAAGCTGAGGGCCTCTGCTGAATTTGGGAATCTTACTGAACTGTGGAAGGGAGAACTAATTGTTGTTATTATCACTACTGCTTCTGCTACTGCAGTGTGTTTATATCCTGCCTTTTTTCCTCTTGAGAGGAACCTAAGGTAGCTAACGTAGATCCATTTTATCCCCACCACAACAACCCTGTGAGGTAGGTTGGGCTGAGAGTCTGTGGCTGGCCCAAAGGCACCCAGGGAGCTTCATGGCTGAGTGGGATTAGAACCCGGGTCTCCTGGGGCCCCCATCCAACACTCTCCCCATCGCACTGCCGTGGCTCTCAAGAAGACATTCACAGGTTTAGCTGGATTGTGCTTTCAAGAATAATTCTGCTAGGCCAGGAGAAGGCGGGAGGTAGATCTGTAGATGTTTTGGATTCCATCCCCCATCAGCCTCAACTAGCATGCCCATTGTTCAGGTGTACTGGGAGTTGTGGTCCAGCACATCTGCGGGAACTAGGTTGGGAAAGATTGTCCTGAAGAATACCTGATCACATCTAAAGTCTTTGCTCTCTAAAATCTGCTCAAAACAGAGCACAGGAATCCAAGCAGGTGACTCCACTTCTCTTTTTTCATTACTCCTCTTTGAGACCAGGCATTGCAGTTGAATATTATTCTAGTGTGAATATGTGAAATGAGTATGATGCTGCCGATATCACCAACAAATTTGTTTTAATGCAGAAGATAGGGGGAGGGAGCAGTTCCTACCAAACATCCACCTAGACCTGAGTTATCTCACTCTGGGTTGGACATTTGCTCAGGTTGGAGCCTCAACCCCGACCAAGCCAGCATTCACGGGAGAGAATGAAATGCTTGATTCTGGAAGCTTGCAGTGTGCATGACTGCCGACCAACCAACATACAATCAGGGCATGTAACCACGCTAGTATTTGAAGGACAAAACTAACAGCACCGTCACTGAAAGGAAGAGGAAAAGTTGCCTTAAACTGCAACTGGTCTATTGGTAATTGGTCTATTTGACCCAATGTTGCTGACACTGACTGGTAGCGGCCAGTCAAGCTTCCAGTCAAGAGGTTGTCCTGTCCCTGACCGGAAGCAAAAATGACATTGTAGTTTGGACATGTCCTGAGAAGGCAGGACTCCCTGGAGAAGACCATCATGCTGGGGAAAGTCAAAGGCAGAAGAAGGAGATGAACTGAGCCCATCAAGGAAGTCCCAGTCTTGAGTTTCTTTTTGCTGAGCAGGGCTGTGAAGGCCAGACACTCTGAAGGGCATTCATTCGCAGGGTCTCCGTAAGTCAGAAACGACTTGACAGCACGTTGCAACAGCAGCTTGGAGAAGAACCAAACTTTTTAAAGCTCTCAGCTGCAGAAGACCTGATGTTTTCTCTAGAAGCGGCCTAGGTTTTCACAGAGAGAGGTCTTATATTCTCGGAAGGCTTTGGTATTAGCCCCAAAATAAAAATATAGGTGTGGTAGGCCCTTTAACATATGAGAGAATGCAGGCGGTGATCCTCCCAAGATATATTAAGTCCAGAAAATCCAAGTGCAGCCCATCCCACAGGAAAAGTAAGAAATGAATTGACAAGTTTCTGAGCTTTTGTGGCATTCAAAATATTCAGCCTGAGGTAGGCCGTCTTGCTTTGAATCCCACCTCACTTGGAGACCTAACTGGCTTCCCACAAGACACATTTGGTTTGCAGGCCAAGTACAGTGGCCTTCTGGTCTCCTTTTCTGTATGAAGGAGTCCTCTATTTGACAGGCTGTCTTGGCCAAGTCTGGTTTAAATATAAAAAGGGTAACAGGGGCGTTGAGGTCGTCCATCAGCAGTTAGCACCTGGATGGCAAACCGAGTGAGCACACTGGACACCTGGCCCTTCCTCCTCTAGGGAAAGAGGCCTTCTACTTCTCTCTAAGCTTCATCTCCAAATTTGCGCCTGTGCGTATAAATGTGCACACACGGGTTGTATGCACCTGGTGTCCACCTTTATCTTGTTTTGTGGCAGGTATCTCCTTTTGGGGGTGGGGGTGATGCTTTAGTAGAAACCATCATCTCCAAAGTTTTGAAATGCCTTCCCCAAGAAAATCATAAGCCCTGCTTTCTCTTTGTCAGGACTGGGCTCAGCAATTTGGCAGAGGTGCCTTAAGAAGACCTGGGGATGGATTCTAACTCAGACCAGAGTGGGGGGAGTGACTGCTGAGAAGCCAAACCAGGGGAGCTGGAGATGGGCAAACATGGCTCTGATAACCAAGGAAGCCCTCCTGAAGCTCTTGCGAAGGCATGGAGGCAGTGGCGGAATCAGGCACCCGAGAGTTAAGCATCAAATGAAGAGGGAAGAGCGATGTACTATAGCTTGACTTTTAAAGCCATTGGCCACTGGGCTGCCACCGTGTGGAAGGCCTTGCCTTGAGGGTAGGACTCAGCAGCCCATCTGGCATAGCCAGGCTAATTTAGTGTCAATTTTTGTTTATGATGCTGTAAGCTGAAGATCAGAGGGGCCTGGAGCTTGTGTCTCCCTTGTGTGGGGATTCTCGTCTGTGTGTGCCCTGAGATTGCGCTGGCCTGTCGAAGCCACACAATGTCTACACGAGCACACTGGTTGCTTGGAGTGACACCTGGCCTGGTGGCATCTGCCACGCTTATGCTGTCAGGGTACGGGGGAGCCTCCTTCAGGCCAAGGACCAGATCCAGTCTGGGAGAAACATTCCTGAGTGCATTTGCAATGATGGGCAGAATGAAAGGCAAAAGCGGCAGGGCCAGAATCCCACCATCATGTGGCTTCAACCTTCTCTTGTCAGTTGCTAAGCCTTCACAAAGACAATTCAACTTGTCTGAATGGGGCAAAACTTCACAAATGCTGGAAAACTACCAAGTTGCAGGAGTTTGTGGCCATCACAGAGTCCTGCAGGGCTAAATTTGGCCCCAGACTGAGATTCCTCCACCTTGTTTCAAGGACCACTTAAATTGTTCCTTAGTTCTGCCTTGTAGTCGCTCTGTATTTCTCTTTCTCCAGTGTGTTGGCATTTTCCAAAGTCCTTTAATCATGCCTGTTTAAACTGGGAGATGTCTCTCTGTGCACTCATTTTGTTGGTCTATATTTTTGTAGATTACTTTTGATATATTTACAGCTAAAGCAAGATCTAAAAGTCCTAAATGCAAATCCATAAATAAATGTCGGGCCTGGCCTTGGGTAGGCCCCAAGCGAAATAGAACAAGGACAGGGAAGAGCATGCGGTAGTGATGCATGTCGAAAAGAAGTGTTGGAGTTAGGCAAGCGGCTCATGCGTTCAGAGCCATGGACCTTGTTATCATGCACTCAGCAATTGCTGCAGTAGCTGGCCCTGGAGAGGGCGAAGGAACCAAGACTAGTCAGACACGTTTCGACTCCTGCGCAAGGCAAAGGACCTTGCAGTGCAAATCTCAAGCGCAAATGTCTCCGTTTTGTTTTAGGCTTCGGCTCCACGATGGCAAGCTAATCAAGGACAGGCGCTACCATCTCCGTACCTACCCCAATTGCTTCGTGGCCAAGGAGCTCACCGATTGGTTGATTGATCACAAAGAAGCCCCGGATCGTGAAACGGGCATCCGGCTGATGCAGAAACTTATGGACCACTACATCATCCATCATGGTTGGTGAGCTTAGTTTTCTTAGCCCGTGGGGACTCCCTGCTTCATTGCAGGAGAGCCAGTGTAGAGTAGTTTAATGGTTAAGGTGTCGGACTGGGACCCAGGAGATCTGGGTTCTATTCCCCATTCAGTTGTGAAACTGCAGGGGTGGACTTTGGGGGAGTCACTGACTGCCTAACCTGCCTCACTTGCTCATTGCCAGGGTAGGTCGGTTCCTTGCGAGAAGGAAACGGTCGATCACGACAGAAGTAGTTATTGTTCTTATTGTTATTTGCCAACCAGCTGTGCAGAGGTGCTTCATTGAAGAGCCGAGCAATGGTCATAGACCTTGTGGACACAAGGAAATCTAGAATTTCTGGGTGATGCTAATCAGGTGTATGCCCTCTTTCAGCACAAGGGCTGAATCCCAATTGGAGGACTCTCGTGGGGCTGCTTAGTGGATGAGTCCAAGGCCGAAGGAGTAGAGCCAAAGGCGAAAGGGAGGGTCCAAATACCCCCAACACTAATATATTCCAGCTGAGAGCTGCTAAACAAAGCTTCAGCCTTTTAGGAGGGATGTCGTGTGCGAAGGCCAAGAGGCCGCCAAGGAGCCGTGGGTGGGGAAAGGGGTGGGACCAGGGGAGGGTTGTGGGCTCAACCCTCGGGGAGCTAGATCAAGGCTTCAGCTGAGGGTTGTGACCCAAATGAGTCCAGAGCTCTCGGGGCTGATTAAAGTGCAGTGTGTTGCCAAGTGCAGCACATGCAGTCAAGTTGAACCTAAGCACTACGGTCAACTGGTGATTTCCCCATGGGATTACTGCCGTGTTGGTCCTAAGAAACGGGGTATTATACCATTTTTTGCCTAACTTTGTGGGGTGGGGGGAATCTGTGTACATTGTCACTATAAGCACTTTCTGACCCTAACCCTCACCCAAAATACCACCGGCTGGTCCTACTTTTTCTGATAAATTGTGCCAAATCATTCATACCTATAGACATTTACTCCCTGAAAGGAGATGTGCAGTAAATTATTACAGAAAGATGCTGGGGATAGTCATGAACCTGGGATGCCTGCAGCAGGGCCGGGCAGAAAGTACATGCCCAGGTATAGCTTCCAGCATCCCTGCCCATTGGCCAACCTGGCCAGGGCTAATAAGGTAAAGGTTTGGACTATTGAATTGAGGATAAAATGTGACCTGTGTTAAAAAAGGCCTCAATACTTTGTGAAGCTAGAACTTTGTTCTAGAACAGCTTCAAACTCTGGATAGAAGGGGAACAATGTGATCTTCTTTAAAAACTAGTGCTTGGGTTCATGGGTGGAATTGCTGCGATGAAGTCAGCCATTGAGAAGGGTTTGCGCGGAGTTGCGGAGCAACTCAACCCGTGCTGGCGGATGAATGCTCCCTTTCAGGCTGATCTGGCAGAGACCCTGTCTGGCCGCCGTTGCTGTCAAGGAGCCGCACAAGGCTTGGGTCTGTGTCCGTCTTGCGCACAGCTCAAGGCTGCCAGAAATCAAAATATACAGAGGCTTGTGGGGTGCTTTGCTGCAGCCGGGCAGGCGGGGGGTGGAGGGGGAGGTAACGGCACGGAGAGCAGTGCGAGGGACACGGTGGAGGAGAGCCTGAAGCCGACCTGGTAGGGCAGGGTGCTCCCATGTGTACGTGGCACATCTTCTGAAGGAGAGAACGTTTTGGACAGCGCTCGTTCAGGGGGTCAACGTAAGCCAGAGATGACTTGACGGCACGGCACGGCCGCCACCAAGATCGAGGGTGGCTTGGATGGATTTCTTCCCTGTGAACTGAGCCTGTGAAGAGCGAGAGGAGGGACTTTGATTGGTGTGTCGGTCACGTGTGTGAGCATGTATGATCTTGCCGTGGACGGGGATCTTCTCTCCGTGGACAGAATCCCCTGTTTGGGACAGAAGCCTTTCTCAGCCTGGCTCCCTCCAGATGTGCTGAGGTACAAACCCCATCATCATGGCATGGGAGGGAGACAGGCGGGGAATTGCTGGACAAGTACATAAGAGACTCCATGGATCAGATGTAAAGCAGGATGAGCCCATCATCCTGGGCCAGGGCCTGCTGTAAGGAGTAGCTCACTCTGGCTGTGGTCCTGAGCGACCGGCAGCCAGGGACTTACCACATCTGGTCTGATTCTGAACTGAATCCTTCCTCCTCTTCCCCTTTAAGGTTAGAAATCATGAGTAAAGCAATACAAGGACACTAGGAAAAGATGTTGACTAAATGACACAAATACCTTGCATCATCAAGGCTAACTGAAACAACAAATTCATCTAAAGAATATTTGATCCGCTTGTAGCCTGCAAAGCAGCAACGGTTCCTTCTTGCATTGTAGAAGCTAAAAGAAGAATCTCTTGTTTTCTGCTCCAAGTTTTCCAGCGTGGTGTAGTGAACTGTTGCTTTCACAACTCAATGACAATTCTAATATAATCCTTCAGTTAGCTGCTTTTGCTAAATTTTAGGCCACCTTTCCATCTTCAGTGACATCCCAACTGAAAACTTGATCAGTGAATCTTAAAGGTACAACTCACATCATTTATTAATCATTAAAAATGAGAGATGAAGGCTGCAGAAGGATATCTGAGGGGACTTAGGATGGGACCCATGAATGGGTCTGCTAGCAGATGGTATATATTTATAAGCTCTGCTGGTGTAGATGGACCAGGGGCAGCAGTGTTTTGCTGCTGGTAGGAGCTTAAACAGGGTCCTAGAGCTGGCTTCCCATCAAAGTTATTTATTTAGTTAGTTTTTAGATTTATATTCCACTTTTTTTCCTACAAAGAACTCAAAGTGGCTGACATCGTTCTCTCCTGCTGTTCTCAATCTTATTCCTACAACAACAGCACTGTGAGGTAGGCTGGGCTGAGAGTCTGTGACTGGTCCGAAGTCACCCAGTTGGCTCCTTGGCTGAGCCGGGACTCGAACCCGGATCTCCCGAGTCCCAGTCCTGCACTCAAACCACTACGCCACACTGGCTCTTCAATTGTCAGAGTGCCCCTTTTATACATGTCTTGGCAGAAAATACCTAGCATTCTGCAGCTAGCAGTGCTATTTTAAAAGACCCTTTTCTGTTTCAACATGCATAGGATTGCACATTTAACTGCTTTTTAGAAATAGTATCGAGAGGCTAAAAGCCAATGCAGTTGAGAGGTGAGGTTTGTGAATTTTATTAAAGGCTCTTCAACCTCCCCCTCCATAATGCAAGTGCTGAAGATCGGCACTGATGCGCGGATTTTGCAAAGGAGACCTGAACCATGGCTGAATGTCACACATGCGCTGCACCTCCAACTCAAGAAGGGCAGGGTGAAAAGCACCCCCGATGGCAACACACTTTGGCTTAAAGCTCTTGCTCCCAGTCAGGAACCCCAAGTCTTCACTGCAGTTGCATTGCACATCTCATCTACCATTCACATCTGGCTCACTGGCAGTAGTGTAGTGGTTAGAGAGCTGGACTGGGGCTTGGGAGATCTTGGTTCTCTGGGTGACTTTGCACCAGTCAGGGACTCTCAGCCTAACCTACCTCACAGGGTTGTTGTGAGGACAAAACAGGGGAAGGAAGTGGGCCATGTGACCCTCTTGAACTCCCTGGAGGAAAGCTAGGACAGAAGGAAATCAGCAAATACACCCAGCCATGCTGCTCCTCCAAGCCTGAAGCTGGCTGCTTATTGGGATACTAGTTGGCAAAGGAGCTGCTGTGGCTTTCGCACAGGGAATGGAAAATCACAGATATGGAGGCCACCCTTGACAGCTGCTGGAGGTGAATGTGTGGAGCCAGAAGCCAAGGGAATGGGTTTTATGCTTCAGTTTGGCTAATCAGTTATCCCGTGGAGTGATGTTTGCAGATCTTTTGACTCTGGTTGAATTGCATTGCAAGGTAAACATTCTAGTCTCTGACATCTGCTGCCTGAGGTAAGGACCGGTCTACTCTGAATCACATTAACTCTGCTGCGGAGGTGCTATAAGGCACTTACAATTAGTTTTGGGTTAATTATTAACACATCTGATTCCCACTCTCCTCCCTTCTCCCAAGTAGCTGCTATTAATTTTTCACAGCCAAGAGGGTAGTTTCAAAAGAATCCCAAGACTTTTAATTAACTAATAGAATATTGGCAAGAAACAGAACCTTTTTGGCAGCTTATCAAGGACGTCATCAGACCATGGATAATCCCTTGCAAAATGTGCAGAGCTGGGCCCGGTTTTTGCTGTGTCTGACTTTCCATTGTTTAGTTCATCCACGTTTTTTTTTAAGGTGTTATATCAGATAGTAGTTTCCTTCTGGGCTTGTAATTCCCCCTCATCAGAAATGTATCTGTATCACGCATCCCCTGTTCCCAAATTTCCCTAGATTCTCCAGTCAGTGGAACATGTCAAAGAGCGCCCCCAGTTCTGTGGATCACAAACATACATGGTATACTCAAAATATATTCAGGTAGCAATCTGGGGCAGAATCCCAGGGGGCACAGGATTTTGCAGCCCCTGCCTGCCCTACAAGTTATTGTCAGAACTCTGGGGGGTGGGGTCCCCATGTCAGAGCTCTCTTCTGTTCGCCTTCAGCACCGCCGAACCCTCTGACCTCAGGAAGTGGGAGAACAGGTGTGTTGAGGATTATAGATTTGATGGATCCAACCCCCTCCCAGGCCCAGCCATGTCTCCTTCCTTAGGAAAAATGTAGATCGGATCTTGAGTCTTATCTCTTGCTAACAGGACAGAGGGAAAAGGGAAGCTTCCTGAAATCAGAGTTCTGCTCTGGGTGTACAGGATTATCTATGGGGGCTACATTGACCGAGAGGTGCCAGCAACACCGGCTGCATGAAGTCACCAAGGTTTGAGAAGGCATCTCTCTGAATGTCCTGTCCTACCCCGGACCACTCCAGATATGTTGCACTACAGCTCCCATCACCACTAGGCTGAGGAACGCTGGGCGCCATCAATGCACCCCGTTAGTGAATTTCTGAAAAAGCAGGAGTGGCCCCAGCCGCCTCGTCGCCCTCCATTCTTCGCACCTTCTGCTCCCTCGCCCAGCTAAATTAAACACCCTTCAAGCCGAGGTGCTAACAGCCTCGGCATGTGCATAATTGTAATGGCTGGAATGGAGAGAGAGAGCTCTCATTTTCCTCCCTTCTGCCTGATATGCCAAATGTTTGTAAGACGCTTTATGAGGGCTGCCCTTGAAAGTGTTTGGAGGTTGCAGCTGACACAGAAGCAGCTCCCCCCTTTCCCTGGCAGCTTCCAACTGGGACGAAAAGATATTTCGGCAGAAGCAAAAAGGAACTCACTGCTGGCCTCCCGACAGCTCATGGAGACCAACCCCCAGGACCCGCACTGAGGAAGATACGCAGTGCAAATCGGCTGTGGGTTCAAGGGAAGCATCCTTCCAGGCCCCGTTGCATAAACACACTCCTTCCACACCTGCCAACAGCAGCCGCAGGAACAGAGGAGGTAGCGTGCCTACCTGCAAGCCATGGACCCCAGGCGAGCTGCTTGTAGGGCAGCTGCAGGCATCTTTCCCCGAGCCCTGCACTTTTCCACCTGCAGAAAGGAGCCAGGACGGCGCAGGCCAGCAGAGCCAGCTCCGGGGGGGGGGGGCACGGGGGGAGCAGGCCAGTGCTGATGCCATGCCTTGTCTGGCTGTGCTGCTGCGGTCCAGGACTTCTGATAGCCAGCTCCTCTGAAATTCTCCTTGGCCTTTCTGCTAAGGTAGGCTTTGAGCCACCTGGCTGGGCTGGCAGGAACGGGGCAGCTGCTCCTTGGAGAATCTGCACCCCTTAGCCAGCGGGCAGAGCTTGAGGGAGGTGGCCAGCTCTCGAGATGCAGAACAGACCAGTTTAGCTCTCCGGTGCTGCTTGCGGTCCCATCTGTCCCTTTCCTTCCACCTCTGCTTCATGGTGCAAAGTCCTCGCTGCCCAGAGCAGGGCAGTGAGTTCAAGTGCAGGAGAGTCAGATCAGAATCATGGAATCATAGAAGAGTAGAGTTGGAAGGGCACAGGAAGGCCATCGAGTCCAACCCCTTGCTCTAGCAGGACACCAGGTCACACCATCCCACTCAGAGGGCTGTTCAGTTTCTCCTTGAAAGTCTCCAGTGTGGGAGAGCCCACCACCTCCCCAGGCAGCTGGTTCCACTGTTGCATTGCTCTGACAGTGAGGAAACTCTTCCTGATGTCCAGCCTGAATCTGGATTGTCGCAATTTGAATTGGTTATTCTGTGTCCTACACTCTGGCATCAGCAAGAAGAGACCTTGACCTTCCTCTTTGTGACAGTCTTTGAGGTACTTATAGAGGGATATCATACCCACTCCCCACCCCCTGTCTTCTCTTCTCCAGACTGAACATGCCCAGTTTTCCCAGTCTCTCCTCACAGGGCAGTGTTTCCAAACCTGGATCAATTTTGTTGCCCTCTGCTGGACAATTTCTAATTTACCTGCATCTTTCTTAAACCTTGGTGCCCAGAACGGGACACACTATTCCAGGTGAGAATCAGCAAGCGAGCTCCACAGCAGGTTGCCCAGGTGTGCTTCAGCCAAGGTTAGACTGGAGAACGTAGAGGGTGCGACTAACCCCCCCACCACCCCATTCGTGGTCTGTCCTCAGGACCCGTATCGCTGGCCCAGGAACACTTGACCCCGTGCTGTGGTCATGGGAGTGTTGGGCGGGGGGCCAGGGACCTGGGTGGTGGGTGACTTGGGCGAGTTGCTGATCTCAGCCCAGCCTCCCTCGCAGGGTGGTTGTTGTGAGGCGAAAATGGAGAACAGGAGGGTTCAATAAGCTGCCTGCACTTTCTTGCAGGAAAAAAAAGCAGGGCACTAACACCGCAAGAGAAAATAAGTACATAATGGAAAACTGGTGCAATGCAGCGGCGGCAGGCAGTCATCTCTGGGGCAAACTCTAGAGCAGGCAGGTGACTTTTGGGCCCACTGGGACATTTCCCCTAGACACGCGCCCAGAAGGGCTGCCGCAGTCGGGCCTGGAAGCAATAAATGGGGACGTAGATTCCAGCAGCCAGAAACATGCACTTGACTTTGAAGCAATCCCAGCTGCCAGTGAGAAAAGACAAGATGGTTTTTAAAATGAGAATTAGGAAGTGTGGGGTGGCTTTTGGGGCACCAAAGGTGTCTAGGGGGAAAGCGGCATGCAGTAACGACAGAAAAAGGCATAATGGGGGAAGTGAAACTCTCCATGTCAAACAGGCACCATGTCAAAGTGGAACACTCAAAAATGGCTGTGCGCATAAATTAAATGTGGCTGGCAGTGCCAGGCGAGAAGGGATTGAGATGGGGAAGGAATTCAGGGAGGCATCCAAAGGTGGAAGTGTTGTAGCAACAGGCAACTTTAGTCAGTCTCACATGAAGTGGATAAATGCACGCTTTGCTCATGATTAAGAGCTAATATTTCCTGATGCTTCAAACCAGGGCTGGGCAACTTTGGGGTGGCTGCTGCTAGTAGCTAGCAGAATTTTATGGGGTACCAGCCATGCTGGCTGCCCTACTCCAGAGTCCCACGATGGCCTAATCTATCTTGTTTTCAAGGAACATTTTGCAGTTGGCTGTTCTGGAATGGTGTGCCTCCAATTTTTGATGGCAGTTGGGTATTTTTGCCACTGCTGAGAACGTCAACAAGAGGTCTGCTCTGAGGTGGGAACAGGGTCGTGTGCCCAGAAAGCGGGTGCTCCTGCCCTGAGAGAAGACAAGAGCGTGACAGAGTGATTGGAAAGAGTACGTGGCGATTGTAGGCTCCGCTGTGGCAGCCAGAATCAGGTATCTGAGGTCACTGCCTCCCTTTACCTTCTGCTGGACCCTGCCCTGCTCCTTCTGCCAATGCGGCAAGGTGGTTAGAGTGCTAGGCTGGGATGCAGGAGACCCGGGTTCTAGTCCTCACTCGGTCATAAAGTGTGCCGGGCGAGTTGGGCCAGCCGCTGACTCTCAGTCTAGTCTACTTCGCAGGGTTGTTGGAAAGGAGGATTATATAAACCAGCTTGAGAGGAATCAAGGCAATCAGTTCCATAAAAGAAGTCATAGCCTCGAGTTTACAAGAGCAGAGCCGGGCTTTCAAGGACAGGAGACCCCTTCATTGGCCCATCATAAGTCAGAGCTGATAAGTCAGAGATCTGAGGGAGAGGCCCTTCTCCGGGAACCCTCCGTGAAAGAAATTAGGAGGGTGGCTACTCGGAGGAGGGCTTTCTCTGCGGTGGCGCCCAATCTATGGAATGTGCTCCCCAGAGAGGTCCGCCTGGCGCCGTCGTTATTTGTTTTTCGGCACCGGGCGAAGACCTTTTTATTTAAGCTGCATTTTAACTGTTAGTATTACTAGATTTTATCTGGCCAGGGTGGCTTATTTTATTTTGTATTTTTGTATTTTTAATTTAATGTTTATATTTATTGTAATTTATATTATAATTACTTTTAATTTATTGTTGTAAGCCGCCCCAAGGCGAATGGGGCGGCATAAAATGTTTTAATAAAATAAATAAATAAATAAATAAATAAATAAATAAAAACAAAAATTAAATGTATCTTCGTCATCGGCAGCAGCAGCAGCAATGCTAATGATATCTAAATAATTATTAGACCCTGTGCTCCAGAATGTTCCACTGCATCATTTCCTGGGTCTCCACAGTCCCAGCCACTGATGCATCGTCCCACGGAACATCTGGATGGATTCTGCATGTGCTTGTTTCACTCTCGGTCTTGAACCTGCTAAAATGTGGCACAGGGTTTATGGAGTTGGACTGGCCATGGACATCTGGCTTCTGGGCCACATTCTGCCATGAAGCAAGGCCCTAACTTTCACCCTAACCTACCTCACAGGGTTGTTGTGAGGATAAAATGATGCGAAGTAGCATGTAAGCTGCCTTGGATTCCTTTCAAGAGAAAAAAAAAAGATGGGTTGGAAGAAAAGCAGAACAGAACAGAACAAACCTGGAGCTCCCCGTCTCTTTGGACTATTTTGGTGGCTCAAGTTCTGTGGAACTTCCTTGAGAAGTTTGCCATGGCTTGTCCTTGCTTGCGTCTTGGATCCAAGCTGAAACCTGTTGTATAAGAGAGCTTTTTGTTGCCTGTAGGAATCAGACACGATCTGGCCTTGGACTTGGCAAACTGTCATGTTTTGGTTATAAACAGTTGGAGGCCAGCTTAGCTAATTTTGCATAATTGATGAAGTCTATCGACCTTGAATTTTTACTTCAGAATAGAGTGAGCTTGCCAGTGTTTGGAGGTGGCGTTTGTAAGTCTCTGCTGGCGCAGGCTAACATTCCCCTTGCATTCCTTTCAGTTTGTGATGAACATCTCGACTACAAGGATGCCAAGCTGCTGTATCGCTTCCGCAAGGATGACGGAACCTTCCCCCTGAACAGGGACGTCAAGGTTTTCTTGAGGGGCCAGACCCTCTATGAGACGTGAGTCCTTTGCTCCAAGGTCACGGGGCCTCAGATTGGTGGCTCTCACTGGTTGTGGGCTCTGGCATGACCCTCTCTTTCCCCACCTAGTTGGACACAAGGTAGCCTGGGCTGGCATCTGCTTGGGCTGGCTGAGGCAAATCAGGAGCCTTCTGCAGTTTCTCCTCCGTGCTCCCAGACTCTGAGTTTCCCTGCTGTCTTGCTCAGGCTCAGACAATGGTGTCCGTGAAAACACAGAAACAGAGCAAGTCAGAAGGAGTCTCTGGGGTCATCTAGTCTGACCCCTGGCTCCAGCCGGCTCCACTCATGTGGAGCTACCATGAGCATGTCCAGCCTATCCTTGAATAGCCTCACTGATGGGGCTTCAACCACCTCCCACGGAAGCCCATTCCATCCCCTCAGGGTCCTAACTTGCAGGAAGTACTTTCTGGCATTCAAACTGAACCTTGGTTTCCTGAGCTTTGTTCCAGTGGAATGCATCCTCCCCTCCTCTTCAAGGAAAAACAGGTCTATACTCACCTCTGTGTGACATCCCCCCATATACCTGTATGTCGCCAACAGATCCCCTCAGAGTCTCCTCTTCTCCAGGCTGAAAAGACACAGTTCCCTCAGTCTCGCCTCATACAGCTTTCCCTGCAATCTGACCACAATCCTTGTGGCCCTACACTGCACTGATTCCAACCTGACTATATCCTTCCTGTAATTTGGAGCCCAGAACTGAACATAATACTCTAGTTGTGGGCGCACCAGAGTCATATAGAGTGGCAGTAATACATCTCTTGATCTAGAAGCCACACTTCTGGCTATGCAACCAAGGGTGGCGCTCGCCCTCTTGACCACCGCATCACACTGCTGACTCATGTTTAGCCTGCAGTCAACCAGCCCCCCAAGGTCCCTTTCCTGAATGCTGCTCTCCAGCCACTTGTCCCCTAACCTGTACTTATGATGCCCATTCCTATGCCCCAAGTGCAAGACCTTGCACTTATCCACATTGAACGCCATCCTGTTGTCTCCTGCCCACTTCCAGTCTGTCCAGATCCTTCTGGATCTAAAAGGAGGAGACATCATATCATCTTTTCCTCTGCCAGTCAAGCAAGCAAGGGGGAAGCTCAGGAGCAGCTGGCGACCGTGGGGCTGCGCAGGGCCACTCACAGAGAGCAGGGACCCCTGGAAGCTCCATTCGAAGAAGACTAGTAGCCCCACGATGCTCCTCTCTGGACAGCATGACCTGGTTGCATCCACCTGGTAGCTTCCAGGTAGATTCCTACCTTGCGGGGCTGCCCCTGAAGTCTGCTTGGAAGCTTGTTTGAAACGTGGTAGGCAGAGCCAGAAGGCCTGAGTGTGTCACACCAGTTCTGTCCTGCTTGCACGGGCTGCCTGGGTGTGTCCGAGCCCAGCTCAAGGTGCTGGTCTTAACCCATGGCTTACATGTGCTGGGAACACAATACCTGGCAGGGCATCTCTCTGGAACAGAATCTGCCTGGAGGCCATGAGCAGCGCCTGAGACATCCCTCCAAATGGCTCAGAGAGAGGCTTGGAAGGGGGCAACAAGGGAAGGGCCCTGCAAAGTGGGGTCCGCCCTGTATGGGATGACCTCCCCACTGAGGCTCCCCTGGTGCCATCACTGTAATCTTTGAACCACCAGGTCCAGGCTGCCCTCTGGTCCTGGGCATGGATGGGGGCACAGTGCCGGCTGGGTGTCGGGGGCAGTGCAGTGCACCACTCCCCTTGAGCCCTTGAGCCTCTGAACTCAGGAGCTGACATGCATCCAAGGCATGGAATGAGTCCTGACCTTCCTCACCACTACTTTTCATGTCCTGCCTTCCATCTCCGTGGCCACTGTTTGCATGGGGCGTGTGCCGTCGGCTCCAGCTTTCCTCCCTCCCCACTCCCTGGCACAGAGGCTTTCCTCCTTTCTGATGGACCTGTGCCTTCACGGAGGGAGTTCTCTCCATTCTGGCTGCAAAGAGGGCTGGGGAGGAGACTCGGCCTTCGGGGCCGCAGCACTGAGCTTGCTGGACCTCTGAGCTGGGGCTCAGAATAATCCTATTCCTTAAAAACCTGAGACTAGCACTGCTGTCACTTGGCTTCAGCTTTGGGGTTTTAATTCTTCGCAGAGATTCAGGAGAAGACAAAAGCTGATAATTCCTCAAGCTCTGGTGGAGCTAAAAAGTGGAAATTTGTTCCACATTAGTGGCAAGTGTTGACACATTAATCTTATTTCTGGTACTTAGATTTACAACTATCAGACCTCATTGCAATGTTTCCAGACAGGCATCTGCTTGAATAGATTTCAGGCTAATGGCCTACTTGTATGTTTAATTTTAAAACAGGACGAAAAGGAAGATCAGACATCATTCAATGCTCAAGTCTGAAATTTTGCTTCTTTTTAAATAGAGCATTTTTGGAAATGCAGTTTCAAGTACTGGCCCATAAGTATAATTAATTACTAAAATAAAATAAATTACATGTTCATGCACACATTGAAATTTAACCTTTGTGAATCCAGTTTTTTTTAAATGGTGGCAAGTACACTTTCCCCTGTGGGGAATAAGCTGAAGGGTTTTGACCTTTTACATTTTGGGGTGGTACGTAGACATGAAAAACATGGCCAAGGGCAGACATGAGAGGCGTTTCTAAAACAATGCAAAGGTATTGCAAAAGTGGGCTGAGAGCATTTCCCCCTCCTCCTTTCATAATGCTGGAGCTCGGAGTCCCCCCCCCCCACCCCCCAGTGTGGTTATTGGCAGGAGATTTAGGAGAAACGATAACCTCCTTTCACAGATTGTATTGCTTTATGAAATCAGCTGCCACGAGATGTACCTGTGCGCAGCAGGGCGTGACCCTGTGGCCTGATCCAGCCCAGCAAGGTGCCTCTTGTGTTTTCACATCTTTACTTGCCCCCGAGCCAGAAGTGTGAAAAAGAAGAGGAAATGACAGGATCCAATGTGTCAGGCACATAAAGGGGCAGAGAAGAGCTGAGCTGAGCTGAGCTGGTTGATACATCCATGCCTGGGAGTGGACTATCGTCATGAGCTTCAGATGTCTCGCCCAATGGAAACCTTATTCTGGGATGGCACCCTAGGACCCATGCAGCCTGAGCAGGTTCCACCTCGACACCATCAGGACAAACTTTAGCCCGGAGGAAGGGTTTGCTCAAGCACAACCTGAGCAGTGTTAGGTAGACTCGCAATGCCCTCTTGTGGTTGTGCCCATATTAAAGTTCGGACAGAAGAAGAGCAGCCCCTTTTCTGAAGACGTTTCCAAAGCGAGGCATTTGGTTCCTCCCCACAGATGAAGTGGTACAGTCCGGTCAGGGCTGTAACACATGGTCCTGCTCCTGTTGTGGAACAGCTCCTACCCACCGTGCCCCTTTTTCCGTGCTCTTTCTTTCCTCCAGACTGATCAGCGTGGAAGATCCCATCCTGAAGGTCAGAGAGGAGAACTCTGTGAAATACCAAAGGACCTTTCTGGGCTGTGAAATGGTCGACTGGCTCGTCCAGGAAGGTGAAGTGGCAACCCGGAAAGAGGCCGTGGAGCTCTGCCAGGCTCTCCTGGAACATGGGCTCATTCAGCACGGTATGGGGAAGGAAAGCATGCGAGCCCGTGGGAAAGGGGTCATTGAAGGCCAGCGGGTCAGGACAAGGCACTGGCCTGGCTGTTGGGGCTGAAGAGAGGTGTGCCCTCACAGATTTATTTATGTTTATTTTCTATATTGCCCCCAGCTGATGCTCTCTGGGCAATTCACAAGCATGAATCAATATGCGAAAAGATACAATCGAAATACATATACAGTAAAACACTGTAAAATCCTAATGCAGAAATTTGAAAATAGCTTAGCAATTCTAATGTACAAAAATAGGAAACTCTTGTAAAATATCCTCGATCAAGGCAGACCTGATTAAAACAGCTCACCTTATTATTTACTTATTTCATTTCTTACCACCCAATAACCCATCCTATGCCATTCGATGCCTGGGAATAGAGGGCAGTTTTGACCTGCGTCCAAAAAAAAAAAAAGAAAAAAGAAAAAGGGAACAGGGCCAGGTCTGCCTCTGCAGGAGGCTGTTCCACTACTGGGGCGCCACCTGCCCACTGGGTGGAACTGCCCTGTTGCCCCGGCTCCGTCCTTTGAAATGGCAGTCAGGGGACGGAGCCTGTGGATGGACTGGGGAGGTGCCTCGGAAGCCATTGTGCTCCCGGTCTGTCCCCTGTCAGGTTTCTACTGCCGACAGCTCTCTCCCTCCTCCTGAGGCAGAAGCAGCATTCCTGGCTGGGGAGCATGGGCTGGAGGGTGCCTCGAGGTCCTCCTTGTGGGCTTTCTCCAGGCATCTAGTTAGCCACTGTGTGAACAGAATGCTGGGCTAGACGGCCCCTGGGCCTGATCCTGCAGGCCTCTTCTGATGCTGCTCAGATGTTGGGGAGGTGTGGGGAGCCAGCTCTGCAGGTCACGAGCCGTGCAGTGCTTTCAGAATGAGCACCAGTGCTTTGAGTTGGCTTCAGAACAGACTGGAAGCCAATGCGCGCTGTGTGTGTGTGTGTGTGTGTGTGTGTGTGTGTGTGTGAGAGAGAGAGAGAGAGAGAGAGAGAGAGAGAGAGAGAGAGAGAGAGAGATTGTCCCCCAGACCCAGGTTGCTGTTTCAGGACTGGTGAACCCCACTGCCTGGCAATACTTCCTGTGGAAGGGACAGCTTGTGGCCAATCGCTGCCTTTACTTGCTTGCTTGCTCGCTCACTCACTCCTATTTATCTCCTTCTTTTCTCCCTCCTGCAAGGCTTACAAAATCCTTCTTCCTTATTTTCACAACAACCCTGCAAGGTAGGTCAGCCTGAGAGTCAGTGAGTGACCCAAAGTCACCCAGTGAGCTTCATGCCCGAGTGGGAACTAGAACCCGGATGTCTGGAGTCGCCATCCAGCATTCTAACCACTACCCCACACTGTCGCTGATCTGCCTTCCCCAACCTATGCTCTTTCCCCCAGTTTTGGCCTGGTACCATTTCCATGACAGCGACCTCGTCTACCAGTTCTGCATCAATTTCCGCCGGAGGAGGCGCCTCACCGAGCTGCTCAGTGAGCTCTCGCCCAGGCCGCTCTCAGACAGCCCCGACAGCCCCTTCTGCCTGCGTAAACTCAACCCTGAGCAGAACGGATCCAGCTTTCTCTCAGGTAATGCAAGACTGCGGGGGCAGTAAGGAGGGGTGCCGTTATCCTCAAGTCTCGCGGCTGCTGAGTTCGAGCAAAAGGGGCCCTGCCAACAGCAGCGAAGGGTATGCCCCTCCCTGCCTTCCATAGAGCCTTCAGTGCAAACTTTGCCTCCCATGTCCGGCAAAGCAGCAGCCGCCCAGCTGAAGGGACCGTGGCCAAGGCAACATGCATATCCCGACCCTTACTCTAGCCAACGGCAACAACCAAACACTGCAGACATTCAAAACGGGGTGCTGCCCATGCATTCACGGTTGACCTCGGCCTGGTGTTCCACAGATGAGCTTTGGGTTTTGCCATGCCTCCATTTCCTCCTGGAAGAATTGAAAAAGATGCTGGCAGTCGGAGCTTGATTCTTCTCATTTCAGCCGAGCTCCGTTTGTCTCTTTCAGTCCAGCCCAATAAGGAAATCAGGGCAGTCTCAGCCGTTCGAAGGAGCAGCGTCACCTCGCTTGCCGGCTCGTCCAGCTCCTATTTCAATCTCTCCCCGAGCTTGGGCTTCCTTCCAGCTATTGAGTGCAACCCTAAATCTGGTGAGAAGCTCTTGGCTGTGCGTGCTGTTTCGGGTATAAGCAGAGATGGCCAGGGACCATGCTTAGTTCAAAGGACTTAAGGTACTACCCCAGATGGTGACACTGACAGGCAGGGGCTTAAAATTCAAGCCTCAAGCCACAAACCCTGTGCAGTCTGGTGATTGTTCCCTCTGCCTGCTTTTGAACGGAAGCTCAGGATGGGAGATGCTGCTGACTCATTATTATTATTATTATTATTATTATTATTATTATTATTATTATAGCATTTCTATGCCGCCCCTTGCCGAAACCTCGGGGCGGCTTACAACCTCTTGGCTTGCCAGTTGTTTTCAATTCAAAATTGTCCTCCCCTTGCTTATCTTCCCCCCACCATTGGTGGGGAATGTTACCCATCGGAGGTTCCTGCATGTGGTCGAAATATTCAGAGGGGGAGAATGCTTTTGAGCTGAAAAAGATGGAAAGCTTCAGGGGATGGTTTAGGCAACCCCCCTCCTGCAGGTTTTTGCTCAAATACGGTTTGCTTTGAGTTAAAAAGGCACAAAGAATCACCAAAGTCATCTCGAAATGTGCCTTGTGTCTCGTGCAAAGAGTAAGAGGAGAGATGCCCACTTCTCAGCCACACTGGGCTGCTCGTTCAGAGCGACATGGTCCTTGTCCAGGCTGCTGCAGGGCTTCCCCAGAGCAGCCTGTTGTGGACCAGGTTGCTCCAATGCCCTGGGGTCCCCTTGGAGATCCGAAGGATGCGGACAGACTGTTAACAAGGGCTCCGTTTCTCCCCTCCTTCAAACTCTCCCTAAAAGAGAAAGGCTGAGCAGGGAGTCAGAGTGGGGACACAGTGTTTGTGACTGGCAAGTGTAGCTTCCAACCAGGGAAGGACTCCAGTAGGGTTCTCCTTTTTAACTTCCAATCACAGTGCTTAGCGAGAAGGAAGTGGGAGGACTCTCTCCATGGGTATGAACCAAGCATCCTTGGGCATCCGCCAAGGACCACACCCACACATGGGGGTCCGCTGCCATCCCTGAGACCTTCTTGGCTAGCGCATGATTGGGCAAGGGAGTGGGGAGACAGATGTACCCACAAAATCCCACTTCTGTTTCAAGCGCTCACCTTTATCCCCAGAACTAGAAGGCCATACCATGGGGCACTTGGACAGAGCAAAGAGTCACCTCCCTTGCCCCATAGCAAAATCAGAATCAAACTCCAACCCTCTCCTTGCTTACTCAGGACTAAGCCGAGTTGCATTTAAAAGGACTGAATTCCAAAGGGATATTCTGAAGCCGGGATGGTTAGACAGAGAGAAGTGGAGAGGCAGGCAGGCAGGCCAGCTGGCAGAGAAAGTGGGACATCCCTTTTTTTGCTTTCTGATCCGTTGTTCCTCGCTCCCTTGTCTTTATGAACAAGACCCTTTTCTGTCATCTTGGCCAGTGATTAGCAGATGCCAGAGCCGAGCCTGTAAAAATCACAGTCGCATTAGATTCACTTCAGTACTTTTTGTAAAAAGCTAGTTGTGCTAAATGTTTTGCCATGCCTTTGAATGCCTTTTTAATGCCGTCAAGGCCAGGCATCTGTTCATTCCTCTGCAAATTGTCTTTGGCCTTCCAGCAGGTATATTTGGGTGTGCTTCCCCCTCCGGCCCAGCCTGTCTTTCCCACTGCACGTTCCCAATTCATATCTCCACTCAATCTGCTGTGTTACCTTTTGGTGTACTTGACCCTCATATTAGATCTGTCATTCCCTCCTCCCCACAAGTATTAAAGAGACGTGTCACCAACGAAGAGCTCCTGAACCCTGGGGCCCCGTATCTCAAGAAAACACTAACGGTAAGTGACCCCGGTCATTGGGATGTTACATTAGCATTATTGCTGAAATGGATCCGTCCAACTGCTCGGCTTCCAGACTTAAGCCTCCCTTAAGGGCGGAGTGCACAAGCAGAAGAATCGAGTCATAAAGATCTTTCCCTGAGTGCTAAAGACAAGCCCTGATGGATCAAACCAGCAGTCTATTGAATATGGCATTTTGCTTCCCCCGATGGATAGTAAATAGTCCTGCCTCTTGGTCCATCCTTGCATCTGATATTCAGGAGGGATTGCTCTGGAACCTCCTCCTCCTCCTCCTCATCATCATCAGTTTATTTCATTTCTATACCAGCACTAAAGGTCTCTGGCTGGTTTATGACAGTCCTTGGAAACAAGATGCTCAAATACTATTAAAATACTATAGAATCTTAGCAAAGAAACATTTTACATAATTAAACAGCAAAGAACTGGTGCCTTCAAGCTGTTGCGAGTAGGGATGTGTGAGCAGTCTGTTTGGGGTGGGACTCTCAGCACCCCAGATTCCCACCTGCGCTGCTGCAGCCCAGGCACCAAGGTCCCGGCAAGCACAACCAGCGTCCTGGACACGCACCAGGAACTGATCCACAGCCGCCGTGCACACGACTGCAGAAGCAAGCAAGGAAGAAGGTTGGCTGCCAGGAATGGTGCCTGGCGCACCCATTCGCAGCACCTCTTTTCCGCATTCTGCAGCTCCCCGATGGAGAGGGTTGCGGGTTACACAACTGGAGGTCTGCAAACATTCCTGGACTCCCCCTTGGCTCAACACACCTTGAAAGAGCGGGCCAAGCCCAGCAGGGATTCTACGAATGCTAGAGGGGTGGTTTCTGAAAGAGCTTGTCCCAATCTTAGTTTCTCAGTCTGTCATTTCTAGATATGTCATTGTTTTGTTTTAAGTTTGGTTTTGAATGTTCTATTGTTGAATTTTATGATGTTTTCATGGCGTCTATTACTTTGCTCTTTAAAAAATGCTCTTGTGAACTGACTAGAGAGCTCTGGCTGTGGACTGGCATAGAAATTAAACAACTAAATCGTTTGTCAGTTCGTCTAGTCTGGCCTTTCCCAGCCTGGTCACTCCCTGAAGCGTCACACTACAACTGCTCCGATGCCCAGCCAACTTGGCCAAAGCATTTAAGGGTTTGCTTTGCAACATTTTCCTGCCAATCAGAAGTTGCTACCAAGCAGGTGGGTGGTGTCAAATGGCTTTTGAAAAGAAGGGGTCTCATGTAGGAAGAGCAAACCCAAGAACTCTACATGGCTGGGCCAGGATGGCACTTTTACTGAGCTTGCAAAAGGAAGGTACTATTTGGGCTCCTTGCAGCTGCTTTAATTGGATCAAGCCATTTCAGAACTGGGGGGATTCTGAAAATGTGAGGCTGGGGGCTGTGAAGGTCATGGGAAGCTGCCCAGACTTGTTTATGTCAGTGTTCCCAACCTGGTTCCCTTCTAGAGGGGTTGGACCCCGCCCCCCATCCCGTCATGATTGTGGTGGGGCAGCCCATCTGGAGAGCAGCAAGTGGGAGAAAGCCGGGGCTGCATCTCCAGAAGGGGTCTTTTCCACCAGCGGCAAACTTGTCCTTTCAGGAGATGCTCGGGCCTCAGCCCAGGGCTCCCTGATCCCTGCATTTTCCATATGGTTTTAAACAATGGCTGGACCAATAAAGAGGAACTCGCTGGGCAGGGGGCTGGGCTTGAGGGCCTTGCAGACCCCCTCAGGACAATGGCAGTCGTTCTCCCTTTGGTTTACAGATTGTGGGAGATGCAGTAGGCTGGGGATTTGTGGTGCGTGGGGGCCAGCCTTGCCACATCCAGGCTGTAGATCCAGGAGGACCCGCAGCTGCTGCTGGCATGAAGGTAGGTGGCAGTCTTAACCTGAGCCTCAAGGACAGAGCATGCATGCAAGTTGCTTCCCCCCCACCAGGGGCAGGGAATCGATCCCAGTCCAAGGGATGAGTTCCAGTCTGTGAACGGCCTTGGAGCGTGCTTTCCATTTGTTGGGGGGGAGGGGCAAAATGTGATTCTCCCCGATTTTTTTGCCTATTCAAAAATAAGTAGGGCAATTCCCTATATGTCTATTCAAAAATGAGCAGGATTGAATCAGTCAGCAATACTTATTAATATCAAAACTCTGCTTCATGAGCATGATGTCTCTTCAGACCTAAGCTGGACCAGCTTCAGAAGCAAGCAGGACTGAGTCACTTAATCCCAGAGCACTATCCTCTCTCACTGGCAGGAAAAAGCTCTTATCTCCAATCACTTACTGAAGGGAGATAAGAGTGTTTCTCTTCCACTAGAGGGGACACACTGAAAAAATGTGTGCACACACTGTGCAAACCAACCCAACAAGGTTGCTCACATTCTCCAAACACCACCTACCTCAAAGCTCATTTAGAGCCATGTTGGTATCAGATTTATTTTTGTATTTATATCCTGATTCTTTTCTTTCAAGGCACTCAAAGCAGCTTACATAATCCATCCTTCATGAGTTGCAGTGCCCCAAAATGGCAATGATGATGAAAGACATAGAATCATAGAATCATAGAAGAGTAGAGTTGGAAGGCGCCATGAAGACCATCGAGTCCAGCCCCTGCTGGTTCAGGACACCAAGTCACACCACCCCACTCAAGTGGCTGCCCAGTTTCTTTCTGAGTGTCTCCAGTGTGGGAGAGCCCACCCCCTCTCCAGGCAGCTGGTTCCACTGTTGTATTGCTCTGACAATGAGGAAGCTTTTCCTGATGTCCAGCCTGAATCTGAATAATCCACTTGAATGGATTATTCCGTGTCCTACACTCTGGCATAAACCAGAAGAGATCTTGACCTTCCTCTTTGTGACAGCCTTTGAGGTACTTCTAGAGGGATATCATGTCCCCCTCAGTCTTCTCTTCTCAAGGCTGAACATGCCCAGTGCTTATTATATGGGAATAAGGGAAGCCTTATTAAAGGGGGGCTAAGAGTTTTTCCATTGATGACGTTTTCTCTTGGTTTGGATTGGGAGGGACCAAAGGAGGACTGAATCCCCTGGAAAACTCTGTGGGCTGCTTAGAATGACACAAACTGCCACCATAAACATTTCCTTTCCCCAATGTGATGCTCTGCCATTGCTTAGCACCCCTCTTGGGAGGTATCAGGGATCATTCTCCCCTAACTGTTTGGATTCCATTTGGAAAAGCACTCCTCCTGGAGCATGATGGGAAAGGAAAGATGGTCGTCGTCAGCCTGTGTTTCGCCTCTCCTTTTACCATCACACCCTTTCCTGCACGCACACGCACACACACGTGTGCACACATGCGCACACAAAGACAGAGAAAGACACTTTGGCTGAAAGTTTTCTTTTGAGATCATTTGCACCCGTGCCAGACAGATCTGAGTCCCAGTCGCTGCCTTGATCAGAATGCATAGGAAGGCCCATTAAAACGGGGTCGATGAATGAGTTATTGCTGATTGTGGAAAAAGTATACGGCTTAATTCAGTGAGCAAATTCTCGCTGTCTACTCAGGCATGCGGTAAAGGCCACCTGAGACCACTGAAGCAAAAGCAAGTGGTTTTTGTGCGCTTTGCTGAGGATCAGTTCCTTAGGAATGAACAGGGAGGGGGGCACGGGGGGGTGGCTTTGCTGCTTTCGAGGGGGTGTGGGAAGAGGGGCGTTAATGGAAGTGCACTGCCGAGATCTTTTCCATCACTTCGATGAATTTTGGAACTAATGGGATTCTCACTGCTGTATGAAGAGCTGTTCCTTTTACACAGAATGATGATTTTGCAACACAGATTTATTTAGGGTTATTTTTAGGCTGCCCTTGAGGGCAGGACTCTCTCAAGGTAGTGTGTGAGAGAGAGAATTCAAAACTCTACAACACAAGCACAGTAAAGAGTCAATGCTTATTCAAGGGAATGCTATAAACACTGATAATGCGAATAAAAAGGTGAAGCCTTCAGATTAGGAGAAGGCCTGTGAGAGAGGTGGGACTTTAGAGCTTCCGTGAAGACCTGGAAAGAAGGATCCTGCAAACCCTTGATGGAAACCAATTCCAGAGGTGTGGGGCCACCCCTGAAGAAACCCTACCCTTTTACCTACCAGTCTAGCCACCCTAGGTGGCAAAGAGAGAAATAAACCTTATGGGGTTTAGAGCAACAGCCTTGCTAGAAGGTGGCTTATTTCCTAGGCCTTTCTGTAGACATCAATTATGTTTATTTATTTGTTTGTTTGTTTGTTTAAGCACTTATATCCCGGTCATTAGTAGAAAGCTTTGTTCAGTTTCTTGGTACAACACTTAAAATTCATTGAGCCTTGTCATATCGGTGAAAGTGTTTCCTGGAGCTTCCTTCACTAATCCATCTTGGGATCAAGCTATTTGTTTGGAATTTGTCCCACTACCTGTAAAAGTCATGCTGGGTAATGGCAAAATTAACTAACTATGTAAATAGAAGGCCGGTTGAAGGATTTAATGATAAATGGAAATTTTTCTATACCCAGCACAGTTAATGGGATGTGAAAGGGAGTTCTTTAAAAAGTGAGGAGGACTTAAAGCAATTGGAAAACTTGTTGGTGTACAGGTTAATAATTTATTTTGGAACTCCCATAGAGTGCTGCATGGCAGAAAGATAGATAAATTTGTGCGTTTGAATGTATTGGTTTTATTTATTTAAAATCCCTTGGCAACCTCATTTATTCTATTTACCTTATTTTATATGTACTTTTTTCTTTCTGCATTTGCTATGCTAAGAAAATAAAATTAATTTAAAAGATAAAAGAAGGCCATAGTGGGCAACCTTGCTAAATTGTTTTAAGGCTTCCTGTGATGATGGTCAATGTAAGGACACATTCCCAGCTACCCCAATATTGTAATCAAAATTCTTTAACATCCCGTTGCTACATATTTGCTACTTTAATATTAGTTTCCTATTCTATCCGAGAGTGGAAGCTCTCTGGCTATATATTGACTCCAGTATTGGAAGCAGTATGGCTTTAAATACCAGTTTCTGGGAAATATAAGTGGGTGCAACTGTCGCATTGTGTCCTGTTGGGAGCTTCCAGTGGGGATTTTGGTCAGACAGTGGTCCATAAGTCGGCTAATGGATGCAGCGGTCCCCTCCTGACCACGTGGGGTATATGGGCACGTAACTTCTGATATTGAAGCCAGCAGATAGTCGTCAGGACTAGTGGTCACAGATGGCTTCCACGGGAAGTCGCTGAGGCCCCATCGGTGCGGGTGTTCAAAGACAGGCTGGACATGCACATGGTGGGCATGTCGTGAGTGGTGCCGGCTGGAGCCGGGGGTTGGACTAGATGGCCCGGGAGGCCCCTTCTGACTCACCCTGTTTCTATGGCCTTCTCCCCTTCTGTGAGTGTGTCCAATTCCCCTTTGAAGGCATCCAAGCCGGCGGCCCTCACTCTGCCTTGTGGAAGCGAATGCCACAGTTTCTGTGAAAAATGTCACTTCACTGGTGAAATATGCTTTCGAACTAGCCAGGAAATTCCACAGGTGTTTCACCTGATAGAGATTCTTTCAGGGGTGAGTGAACGTGAGATGTTCAAGCTTATTGACAATTCCCACGTACTTCCTTGATGCTCATTTCAGCCCTTTCGTGTTTCTGAAGTTAAGTATCTTTTTCCCTGATTGGAAAATATCCACATTTTTGATCTGGAAATTAGTTTTTAAACTGTTCAGAGAGCCGTATGACTATGGTGATGATCTATAAAAGCTCAAAATAAATAAATATTTAAAATACATACATTTATTTTCCCATTGGAAGAACACAGGGATTTAGAAATGTGCGTGTTTCATGCCTATTTCACCCCATTGGCTAAAACATGAAAATGCAAATTTGGGGGAACATTGGATCATGTGCACAAGGGGAACAAATGCACATTTTGGATGCATCTGGATGTATCCAGGCATGTGTGCACATTCACATGCAAACTCTAGACATGCATCTCTGCTTGTGTTTGGGGTTGTGAAGATTTTGCAAATAGGAACAATGTTTTCGTGCCACCCTTGATTCTCGCCGCGAATGCCCCTACCCTAGCATGGCACCTTACTTGGAATTTAGTGAGAGTCAGCTGTAACTTCTCTTCTGTTTCCCTCATTTTAGGTCTGCCAGTTTGTCTACTCTGTGAATGGGGTGTACGTTCTGCATTTGGACTATCAGACCATCAGCAGCCTGATTATGACGGGACCTCGCACTCTTGTCCTGGAAGTGATGGAAGCTGCTGAATGATGGGAAGGCACGCACTGGCCTTGCTTCTTGACACGTGGGCAGCCCACCCCTGGCTTGCCTTCACTGGGGCATCTGTGACCCCTCTAAACCCAGGACGCTCTTTGTGTTTAAATAGGGCATGGAGCGTGTCTCTTAGATTTTGAGATGATGTTGACCATGGCTTGCGAAAACACCAAGAATACTTATCTTTCCACAATGGAAAAGGGGAATGTTGATTCCTTTTAGAAGAAGATGAATTAAATGTAGTTATGAAAGGTCAGTAGTGCAGACAGATGCTACCAAAATGCAGCAATATCCCCCTGTATCCTCTGTCTACCGTGCAGAAGAGAATGACACAGTCAGGATCAGAAGCTGTAACAGGCCGCGCAATTCACCCTGCGAGTCTCCTCAGGATCCGGCGCTTCCTTTTAGGTCCTCACAAGGATTGGAGACTGCAGAGGGCAGCTGCAGGCGCTGGAAGGCTCCTTCCGTGGGCCACTGCAGCCGCCGCCTTGCTTTCCTGATCCTGCCTCCAGCCTTGCCTTGCCTTCGATTGTGTCTTGGCTCCTGCCTGCTCCTCTCTCCAGTCAGACTTTGCCTTGCCGGTCCTCACCTTCGCCTCTGGACCTGCCATGCCTTGCCAGAGATCTGGCCCTCCCTTGTTGCTCATTCTGCCTTGGCTTCTGGGCCTGCCCTGCCTTGATGGGATCTGTCCTCAGCTCTGCTTTTGCCTCTGGTTCTTCTGCATTTCAGCAGGACCTCCACCATCCCTGGTCCCAGTGCTCCAGCCAGGGGCACCTGCGGCCATCTCTTGGACCTGACAGATGTCTTCCCTAGGATGGAAGATAATAGAAGGACTCAGACCTCCCTTCATGACTGCCCTGTGGCACTGCTTTCCCTGCTAAAACTGCCATTAAAAAAAACCTACCTGTACAACTGGAGCGCCATCTACAACAGCACATTTGTCCAAGGACGCTTGTTGGCCAACCAGGGGCCACCCGAAAGGGCCTGCCAGTTGGGGTGCCTGGGAGCCCCCAGAGTTGGAGAACTAGGGGCGCCCTGTGCAGAGCAGGAAGGGTGGCAGAGCTGGTCTCTGCAATTTTGCCTGGAGGCCATTCTTGCCTCTCAGGTCGGAGCCCTTCAGGGAGAGAGGCGAGGAGTTTGGCAAGGCAGCCAGATATGCAGCCCCGTGACTGCTCTGTCTCCACCTGCCCGTCTCCAGTGTTGCTTTCTCAGCCCCAGGAAGCAGCAGTGCGCTTCTTTCCACCTGGGGACTGTGAGGATGGGGGCCAGAGCTGCGCCCCTCCGCTCGGAGGTCGGGATGCTGTCTGCAGCCTTGGAGATGGGAATCCTCATGACTCTCCACCCCCCAGACTACAGGGGCCCCTGGCGCAACCCCGACTCATGTGCTTACTTGTTCAGCATTCTGTTTGCAACCCTTGAACCCCAAGAAGCAAGACTGGAATTTGCTCCATTGTGCAGGATACCTTTCTGCCCCGGTTCAAACAGGGAGCTGTGAGGGATCTGGTTTGGGGGTGGGAAGCCATGAGATGTCCTCAGCTCAGCGCCCAGGACTCCAGGCCACTCTCTTTCCTACGTCGGCCTCATTTCGAGACTCTGTGCGGGTGTTTGGCAGGACGTGAGTCCAGGCCGAGCAAGTCCAGCTCCCTGCACATGTGACTTTGCATAAGTTGTGCAAAGAATTATGTGCTTTTCTGTCATCCTCCTGAGCGTTTATGGACCTGGTTTCAGCTTAACTCGTTTCCTGACCAGGGCCAAGTGCGGGAAAGAAGTCTGGTGAGCACAAGAGAACTGGCTTCCAGCCTGCTCTTCACATCCCTACGTTGAACCCGTGCACCCGTTTTCCAGTGAGAAGGGAAAGTTCTGAAATATGTTAATAATAGGCTATTTGCCTCTGTGGCTCAGATATCAAAAATATTCATGTATGCCTCCAGGACCCAGTTCTGTGTTTCAAGTCTGAACATCAGCTTGGTCCTAGACTGGCTTCAAGCGGACAAGTAGAGATAAAAAATTATCTTTAATGTGGTATTTCCCTGGAGCGCTGTGAGATTGCAATTAAACTTGGCATTCGTGTTTATGACATAATTTTCATTTGGAGGCCGAACTCCAATTCAACCCACATGCCAATTTTTGAAGGGGAGGGAAGAATTAAAATAGAATGTAGGGAAATGTCTCTCTAGCAATATATGTTACTATATTATTTAAGTCATTATTCAATCAAGAAGGATGCATCTCTCCATTGTGCTTTTTCGCAATTTTGCTTTTTCCCCATCTTAAGTTCAATTTGTCTCAAATGTTAAGGATTTCTCCAGTCTTACATTTGGTTCTTTGAGATTTTTGAAACATTGTTCTTAAAGTCTACATGAAAATTCATAAGCATTTTAATGCACATTTATTCTAATACATTCATTTGCATGGATTTTACCTAAGACACATATTTTCTTAATATGATATCTTTTCAAATGCTTCTTTCCTTAATGCACACATTTTTAATACTTTTTTGGAAGCAGGGATCAGACAACCCACTGTAAAATTTGATGTGTGAATTTCAAAGGCTCACTGAGTTTAGGTTCTCATAGGAGTAGTTCGAAAGGGCAGAAATACGTAAACAAACCCATCCGATTTCTCCCTCATCTTTATTGTTCCCCTTTCCATTCTGGTGCACTTTTATTCAAATGTTCAACAGCACAAACAGACACACTTTCAGACAGAAAGAAGTTGAGAAAAAAGGGGCAGTAATTCCGTCACTATTTGCACTGGATTCGTGATTTCCAGTAGCAGTACAAGAAATGTGTGTGCGCTTTCAGGTGCTTCAGCAGGAATCCTTTCCATCAGACACCAGGCTGCACCCTTCTTCATTCTGCGTCCTGCTGCATCTTCCAAAGTTCTCTTCCTCAATGCCTTGGTGTCAGCACATCCTTGGCGACTTTTAGTTTGGTCCGCCTGGTGTCCCTCCATAAATAGAAAATGCCACCCTTCGTCAACAGCTCCAGCCCCCGTGACCCTTCTCTGCAACTCAGAGTTTGGGTCCTGCTGAATGTTCATGAAGGGCCTTTTCAGAAACTTGAAAGAAGTATTTGTTAAATATCCTTCCCTGAAAATTATTTTCCTGGGTGATGGTCTGGCATCCCTTCCCTTTGGGGCAAGATGTTCTAATCACCATGCTAAAGGGTGGGGGAACAAGAGCCCTTCCTTGGCTGGTTTGGGGAGAAGCGAGTTAGTTTGAGGACAACAGGTTCCTCAGGTAGAAAGCCTGCTTAGTTTGAGCCAGTTTTACCATTTTAAAACCCAGTTTTACTGTTTGCATGCCTATCTTTCCTATTCATTTATTTACATTCTATACCACCCAGTAGCTGAAGTTCTCTAGGCAGTTCATAACAATTAAATACAAAAGTTACAAGAAAAGTACAAATACAATCAAATGCGGTATAACATTCCAGTATGCACATTTAAAACAGATAAAAATTACAATATATAAAAATATAAAACAGTTTAAGATCTAAAACATTTTCATTAAAAGCTAGATATAGGTAAAAGAGTGGATATAACCCATTAAATGCCTGGAAATAGAGGGCAGTTTTAACCTGATGCCAAAAAGATGACAATCTTGTCACCAGGCAGGCCTTGGAAGGGAGACTATTCCACTCCTGGCGGGAGGGGGGCACTGGAAAGGCCCTCCTTCTTGTGGCCTCTTTCTGGGCCTCCGTCGGAGATGAGAGCTGGAGGAAAACCCCTGATATAGATGTTAGGATCCAGGTAGATTGAGGCCAAAAGAGGTAGTTTGGTGCTAGTTTGCAAGATTACCTACATATTCTAAGAGTTGGGAGCAACGTATTGAAAACTTTCATATGTCTTTGGCTTGATGAGCCAATAAACCAGAGTTTTGGTTGGACCTCTTTTGAATTCTGCAGGAATTGCTTCTAAGTAAATGCACCATGCATTTACTTAGATGCATGGTGCATCTAATGCAGCTCAAGCTACTTGCCTTGTCTCTTACCTGCAGCTTCCTCACCTGACAAGAGGAAATTGAAACATACAAAGCTTTTCTTAGCAACAGGGACCACCCAAGGTGTCCAAGTGCCTGGGGGAGACCTCTTCACCCATCACAATCAAGGTGCTTAATACCAAGACCAGCCAAGTCTTTAAGAGCAAGCAAGCAAGCAAGCAAACCAACATCTGCTTCTTGCTTCATTTTTAACCATATGTGTCAGCTGAATTTTAAGTAAACCCCTTCCCATGTTTTACTGGCTTTGATATTTATCTCCATTTCAAAAATAATAAATTATAGTCACTGTTTTAAATTTTAAAAAATGTATTACATCATCAGATATATTTTGTATCGTTGATTTATATCCCACCTTTTGCTCTCTTGTGATGTAGTCAAGGCAGCTTACATAGTTCTCCTTGGCTCTGTGTTTATCCCACAACAACAACCTTATGAGGTAGGCTACGTTGAGAGTCAGTGACTGGCCTGAGGTCACCCATGAACTTCATAGCTGAGTGGGGACTAGAACCCAGATCTCCTGGGTCCCAGTCTATCCATGGCATCTCAGGTGCCCAGACGGCTATTAGCTGTCCCCAGGATCAGAGGCAGCCTGGCTTGGTCTATTCATTTCTGGGGAACATGGGCAAGAAGGTGCTGTTGTTCTCATGTCCAGCTTGTGGGATCCTGTGTGGACAGAAGAATGGATTAGATGGAACCTGGCCTGATCCAGGAAGCCTTTCTTCTGTGACCACTGCACATGGTCGGTCCCAATTGGGCTGTTTTGGAGTCCCTCCCACACCTTTAGGGGTTTTCTCCTAGACCGTTAAAAAGCGTCCTGCAAATTTTGGGTTTCACCGAGCCTCCTAATTCTTCCCTCTTCTTCACTGGCACTTTGCTCTGCATCTCCCAGTGAAAAGTGCATGAAGACTAGAAATGGCGCCCTCTAAAGGAAATGAGACATCACTATACAGTGGTACCTCAGTTCACAAACTTAATTCGTTCCACGATTCTGGTC